GTATGTCAAACAGTTGATATCCGTGAGTTCGGTACGTGTTAAGTCCTCGGCTGGCTCCAAGTAACTTTCCTTCAAATATAGTAATCAATTCAGTAGGGGTAAAGCTTTGTTGAGGGTTCTTAACTCTCACATGATTGGCCTTGGTTTGATTACCTTACCCGGTGTCACATTTTGATGCAGTTTGTTTCCTTTTCTCTTATCCACTCCAAAGGATTTCAAATTGGTTCAAAGGTTTTCGTAGTTTCACCCCCTCCCCCATTTCCTCCTAACAAACAACGCACTAGTAATTCCAAATTAATTGGGACATATTTAATGTATGGTTTCATGCGACTGACTTATTTAACTGTTTCACGCTATACGGTCGCACAAGCAATAGTAAATACGGAACCATTGAATAAAACCCATCCATAGGTTATCCTCACCTTTGCAATTAAAGACATTTATTATACATATACTGAACACCAGGAGACCCAACATTGTCCTTTTGATTAATAAATTTGTCTTTCATTAATATTGGATCCTTTTATATCAACAGATTTATGGGGACCGTCCAAACTCGAAGACTAAAACAAAAATTTAATTTTGAAATCCTTCTCTGCAGTAATGTGTGGCCATGACAAAGACATATTATTTAAACCTTAGCTAAGCTTAGAAGTAGTTTTGTTTTCATTATGCTAAACCATTTCCTTTCACAGTAATGTAAACTAAATTAATTAAGATCAGTTATTTAAGGAAAACAATTTAGAATATTTCAAAGCGGGACACTTGGGGAAAAAACATGTTAATTGCTTTGTCAGGAGGGTAGGTAAAAGGAAAAAAAAAAAGCTTTAATTTCTTCAAGAGGCATGAGGGACGCAGGCGGCCTCAACTTTAAGTACTTTTTAGAAATGCTACGATATTGTCCTAGCATTCCTAACATTCCGAGCTGCGCGAGAGTGTCAAAATCCGTGCGTATGTCACAGAAATGTCACTGGACCTAAAGTACGCCAGATGAGGGCGAATAAATCGTGTGGATATATTTCTCTTTATAATCTACAATGTAACGCAAAGGAACCGACCGAGGAATAAAGGCACTATTGATTTTGTGTGAAACAAAAGCATTAGCTGATGACATTTTGATAGCAGGCATTAATTAATTTATCTTCTCATATTTATTCGCCCTTATCTGGCGTACTTTAGGTCTAGTGACATTTCTGACATACGCACGGATTTTGACACTCTCGCGCAGCTCGGAATGTTAGGAATGCTAGGATAAAATCATAAAAGGTACTTACAGTCGAGGCCGCTTGCGTCCCCCCATGTAAGGGCTACAAATATTCGAACTTTCAATTTCAATGCCACACTGTTGAACTATAGAGAGCGTTATGTGCTAACTCCAAATGTATGAGGGGTTCCTAATTTGAATAAAAAAAAGATAAACTCCGCCATCTTTTTATTTTTCCTATTCGTGCAGGATGTTCTTGACCTGGAGAATTTTTCTATGTCTCACGTTCGAGACAAACAGTAGTAAAACTAGTTGCTATTTGAAATGTGATAATATTTGCGTTACAAACAACGTGGTTCATTTCATTCTACATATGATATCTTTTACCACCAAACAATACAAATCTCATTTCACATCAGCGAAGATATATAGAATGAGAGTATCCTCTCATTGTGAATATCGATGATAGATAATACAAGATTTCCCACATTTCTCATCTGTTCTTTTTAAAAGCTTCTGGTAAGAATCGAGCAAGCTTATAGAAATCTGAACATAGAGCTAACAGGATCGGTAGAAAGTCTCTTCAAGTGCTGCTTCCTGGATTTGTGACATTCCAAACCCGGAATACTATAGAAAGACAAAAAGAAAAAAAAAATATGATGAATTGGAATAATTTCGATAATCAAACTTGGCGTGAAAGGTTCTTCGAGAATGGAGGGCTCTCGATGGTTTACTTATGGTTGGAAAGTTTTGGGGGAGTTATGCATGACATCCCAAAGAACGTCTAAGACTACAAACACCCGCATTTGAACCCCTAGAAAAGTCAATCAATCTGAAGACTCTTAGAATTTTTGTTTTTGTTTTTGTTTTTGTTTTTGTTTTTGTTTTTGTCTTTGTCTTTGTCTTTGTCTTTGTCTTTGTCTTTGTCTTTGTCTTTGTCTTTGTCTTTGTCTTTGTCTTTGTCTTTGTTTTGTTTTTGTTTTTGTTTTTGTTTTTGTTTTTGTTTCTGTTTTTGTTTTTGTTTTTTTTTTCGGAAAAGAGCTGCCAAACGGTACGATTTTTTTTAAAACTTGCAGTTGACAATTGTTCACATCAGATACGCGAGCAACACAACCTCAACGAGTGCAATATACCTCATTGATAAACTATTAGACAACCAAATTTAGAAACACTTTAGATAACAAGAGAAAAAGGAAATTGCTACCTCAACGCCAGCAGCTTAGAAAAGAGTTTACGTTCTCTAACTTAGTATTTTACCGGGAAAAAAATTAACGACCGCCTTTGTTTAAAGAAGCAAACTATAATCGAGTCAGTACCTTAACCATTTTTCATTCTTCAATATTTCCTAACAATCGCACGTTCATACAAATCAAATACATTTGAAAATAATACATTGCACTTTCTTCCTCATTCAAATCTTCCTTGGATAATTTTCATGGAGTATGTGGAATCTGAAGGCAAATAAAGGTGTGCAACGATGAGTATATCGTACGATATATGGCCTCACCATGGGAGAAATGGTTCATTTTGTGTTTGATCGATCGTGAGATTGAGACTGTTGTAGGTCGTAAGAACTAACGTTTGGACAACTTAAGTGAAAGTGGGAAGTCATAACCAGAGGATGACCAAAGGCGATCGGAGACAAAAATAGATATTTTGACTGAAAAGTTGAGGAAATTTGTTTTCCGTAATACGCTGAGAATACTCATATATTGTCAAAACGAGTGAAAGTTGTCAAAAACCCTAAAAAGAGGATCGTCTGTAGTTTTTCTATGACAACGAAATTTTTTTTTTCAATCGAACTTTGCTGAAAACACTAAGTGGGTTTAATTTCTGTCTCTTACCTCTCCGTGTCTACTGCTTTCAAGTCAACTACATCTTTTTCGATTTCGGTGCTGTTCTCTCTATCTTGCAGGGCGAATCCTATGGCCAGGATAAAGCCGACCAACATTGGAAGGAGTAGTCTGTTCATCTTTCTCATTTGCAACTGATTAACTTCAGCCGGTGCCTTTTATTCCCTTAAAATCAGTCAGACTCGGAAGAAAATGTCATATCAACCGCCGGATAGATAAGCAGGTAACCTCTTTGAAGCAATATATTGACAACTCTGCAAAAGTTCACTCATGTCTGCATAAACTTCTGAACACAAAGATGTATGTTTCCATTAAATTATTTCTATTTCCATGACTGCATGCGAGGAGTATTCTCATTGCATTGTCGCTTTCGAGTAAAAACTATTATTCTGAATACTATATTACTTCTATCCAAAGAGTTTATTCGTCGTGAAAAGTACATTAAAACATCATACTCACAAAATGCATGGATCAACATGGAAACATATTTAATGAAGCATAACAACCGCAAATAGCAGCAGAAAATACCTCAGTCGTTCTCTATTGGGTGTCGGCAAACTAAGGAAGACTAGCAACCAAACTTCCCAGATGGCCAGCGAGCTATACGCAGATTTTTAGCGCAAAAAAGAATACGTGATTCATTTCAATAGGTCCTCTGTGTTCAACGTGGCGGCAAAAAGTTTTTACTCATTGTATCGATAACTGCTCAACAACAAACCTACTATATATATTGACGCAGCGTTAAAATAGAAATAGCGGGATATTGTGGCTGGAAATAAAATATATTTCTATTTGAAGAGGCGGTTGTCACAAATAAACATTATATTTATGCATCAATATACGTGGTGTATGCATATCCGCATTGAGAAAATAATTTCATTTGAAATTTACACGTCCTCGCGTGCTCAATATTATGGTGAGGAAATCGAAGTTTGTGTGGGTAAGATTCGATGGGCAGTGATGGTTATATCGTAGAGTCAATAGCTTGAACATAGGAGACACGGTTCATCGAGTTGTTTGATCGAACGTGAAATACGTCATCATTTACGTTATCACTTTACCCGTGAAAACATAAGATAATCAACAGAGATCGGGGACAAAGTAGATTTTATCTGAGCAAAAGGCTCGATTGATAGGCCAAAACCAATGAATTTGGGAGGGATTTGTTTCCGGCTTATTATAAAGGGGGGGTACATTTAAGTGGATGGACTAATGTTATTGAAGCCTGGAGAATTTACGCCGAGGCTGGAAGGAGTAACTTATTCATCAGGATGTCAGTCCTCGTTTGTTCTTGATTAGCGTCAAAATTTGAGTTTGAAGTCTTGAAATCAGAGATACACAAAGGATAAGGATAAAAACAACTAAGTAAAATACAAAAAGAATGCAAAGGGGGGAGAGGAAGAGAAAAATTACCATTTCAAATTTAAAAACGAAAGAGATTTTCTACAATTTGAATCAGCTGCCTCTCCATTGTCGAATAATCCGACAGACCTTGTCGAACTTGATGATATTTGCCGCACCTAATTAAAGCTGTAGAACCGAACTGACTCAGACGTCGCTCTTTTTCCGGACTTAATTCATCAACTAGTTTCGGCACATGAGTGGAAAGACGTATGAACTTAGCTTAAAAAAAATTAAAAAAAAAAAAAATTATAAACACTTTAATGGTGATAAGCAGGCAAAAACTTTTGCTGCAATTGTTCAAAGTCACCCTCTGTTTTGCACTTTCGAGAAGAAAATGTGGCCCGGATATTGTTAGCCACTCTTAAAAAGTGCACTCGTATCTACAGACTCCTTCATTTGGTTGTTCCATGATAAATTTTATCGCTAGGACGTGATTATTATAAGTTCACTGGAATATCGTGGTTACCGAAACATTCCCTACTATTGCAAGTGTATAAGGACCTGTTAAAAAAAATCCAGTCGTCCTATTCAGTGCATGA